AAAATTGATGCGCAAAGTCAATTTTTTTGATTTATGTTTGCAAGATCAATTTTTAACCAAATTAGATAATCTTTTTTTTATTTTAAAGCTTAAATTGCAGATTTTTTTAGTCAAAATAATATGCAGAAATCAACAGAACTTTCTATTTTGAACACGGAAGGATTATTGGTATGTGAGAAGCTGGCTTGAGCGAAAGAGGGATTCAAAAAAAATTGAACATAAAAATCAACAATTCGTGATACAATAGCAAGATATAGAGATGGGGGCAAATAAAATCAACATTAAGACCAGGTAGACCAGTAATAGCATCAGCTCGTGATAAAAGAGGTCTTATAAAAATTGTTAAAAAAGATAGAACACAAACTCTCTTCGATGTCACTGACCAATTTAATGAAACAACTAATTTATCCTGTAAGTTCTTCAACTGTACGTAGATATCTTCATGAATTAGGTTATTATGGTCGTGCTGGATTGAGAAAACCTCTTATAAGTGAAAAAAAAACAGAAAAGATCGTCTAGCATGGTGTCGTCTAAGAAAAAATTGGGTTGATGAATGGGATTTAATAATATGGAGTGATGAATCACGTTTTGAAATATTTCAAAGTGATTCTCATCATCATGTGTGGCGTAGTCCTCAATAAAAGTATGACGTTGACTGTTTAATCCCAACAGTAAAGCATGGCGGCGATGGAGTTATGGTATGGGGTTGTGTATCTTCTTGGAGGCAATTAAACAATTTCATTATTGCTTTTTTTTATTTTCTTGGACAAATTAGATTTTTATTTAAGGCAAATTATTTGTGGCCAACATTTCAATTTTGCTTTCTGTTTCATTCTTCCTAAATAGCAATTTACGATTAGCAAAATTCTAATTGCAATTATCAAATATCAACTAGCGTAATGCAATTGCAAATTGAATAATCCTATAAAATGGTTTGTAAAAAACTTCCTTTTTTTAAAAACAGAGGGTTAGTGAATTTTGAAGATTCACAAAAATAAAGATTTCAAAACATATACCTTTTATTAATAATTGTTAAATATAAAATATAAAATAAATATTAATAAAATTAAAAAGTAGATGAGTAATAAATAAATAAATAAACAAACAAACTAATTTCACAAGTGTGAAAAAATTTCTATTTTCTAAGTTTAAGTTTTGGTCTAGTAATAACTTGAGCTTTGTGTAATACTTTTTGACTATCATCAGTTTTGCTATAGATCAAAGGGAAAGAACAAACTTCAACTTCTAAATTTTTAATATCGTTTTCATCCCATGTACCTTCCATAAAATTACTTTGTATTTGTATTCCACCATTAAAAAAATCTCTAAATTTTGGTATAGGTTGTTGAGCATTTAAACGAAAGTATAAATGCGCAATATCCTTGATCAGATTCATTGTAGTTACTTTAATTTGATCCTTTTCATTGGATTTGAATGGTCTATAAAGAGAAACATTATTAATTATCTTATCAGATAAAGTTTCAATGAATGTATGGTTCTCCTTACAAAATCCTCTTGTGCCCAACACCGTACAAACTTGTTGACGCACTTTCGCTGGTGTAATATTGGCAATATCATCATCACCTTCACGTGTTTCGGCTAAACGTTGTGCCAAACCTACTAAGGATTTCATAGCTAGGTTAACATCTGATTCTAAATTATCATTTCTATTGGTCAAATTTGATTTTTCCAAATATTCAGTTATCTCACTAAATGATACATCAAGTATCAGCCGTTGTAAAGCTGCACTCAATATTGTCTTTCCAGTTTTACTATTAAACACAGCAGCACAATTGTAATTTGCTAAAAGCTTATCAGCTTCTTCTTCATTAATTACAATATCTCTAGCTTTAAGATCAGTAAATTCCGATAATGCTTTTTGTAATTCTGAAATTGTTTGTTGAAGTTGGGCTGAATCATCTTCACCCCAACGTAAATTGGTGCCTTTACCAAGAGCTGATTTATATCTAGATGCTTCTTCGTTAACATCTTTAAATTTTTTTTTTAATTCTTTAAGTTCAGCGTCTGATTCATTACATCTTTGTACTATTCTTTTTTTTTCTTGATCAAAACTTTGTTGTAAATTTTCAATATATTTTTCTAATTTATCATTTTGAGCACTTAACGCATGTTCTTGTTTAATCAATTCTCCTTTCTCAGCTTCTAAAGTTTTGTTTATATTTTTATAATTTATTGCGTGGCTTCGTAAATTTTCTACAATACCATAGTCTTGAGTTGTTCCAGTTAACTGAATAAAATCGTTCATATTATTATTATCACTTGCAGGATTATTGAGCCTTAGTTAAAGAAAAAAGAATGCGTTTTTGTGTACCCGTCATTTATTATTTTTTTTCTATTTCAATAAATGATGAAAATGCCACACATAATAGACACAGTACCACAAATAATTGAGCATTTTTAGATTAAAAATTATTTTACTGTTAAAAAAAATTTTTATTTATGAATCAGGAATAGTAAAAAATAATGGATGAGCAATTTGGATTTATGAGCCAAGTTCACTATATTCTGTGTAAATTAAATATTTGATTTATTTGCAAGACATTTATTCGGTCTGACTCGCAACCTTTTTAAGATTACTCCTAAACTCTTACACCATTGTAAATCCCAACATTAGTATTGATTAATACTTTTTTTATTCGAGGAGATGGTTTTTTTCATCACTTATTCTGTCGTGTACTAATAAAAAAAGTAGTACGTAGTAATAGGTTGAAACTAGATCTCATCAATAAAACTTTACCTATAAATTTTTTGTTTATATAACAACACTGTAAGCATGATCTAAAAAATAAGAATTTCCTGTTATTTTGATAAAAGAAATCTTTAATTTGTGTAATCATATTTTTTTGGTCATTGTT